GAAGGGCTGGGGTAGCAAATCATTGTGGTTCTACCACTTTACCCTTCTCTGTGTAGTCTTTTCTTCACCAGGTGTAGATGGTCTGTTCTGCAGTCTTCAGGTCAGTTTCAGGATTTGTTGTATTTGTTGAAATTGCTTCCTTGGTGTGTGTGGGAGGAGGTTTCAATCTTGCCTTCCTGTTCCACCTTTTCCCCCCTCTACATGGTGATTTGATACATGTATATATTGTGAAATGATGACCTAAACAAAATTAATTAATATATCCACCATCTCACATAATTATAATTTTTTTCAAGAACATATTCCCTAAGATTTCAACCTTTGGAAATTTACTGAGACTTATTTTATGGTCTGCATAGTTTAGTGAATGCTCAATTTAGACCTATTTCATTGTTGATTATTGTGTTCTATAAATATCAACTAATCAAAATGAGTGATAGTGTTATGGGGATCTATATCTTTATTGTTTTGTTTTGTCTAGCTGCTTTATCAGTACTGAAAGGTGTTCGATTTCAACTATGACTGTAGATTTGTCTGTCTCCTTCATCCATCAGTTTTTGCTTTATGTATTTTGAAGATCTGTTTTTAAATCTATATATATTTAAGATTGTTATCTCTTCCTAATAGGCTACACTGTAAAATGTCCCCTTTATCTCTGGTAATACCCCTTATATTCTACTTTGAATATTCTACAGCCACTTTCTTATGATTACTACATTTATAGGATGCATCTTTTTCATCCTTTTATACCTATTTGTGACCTTATATATTTAAAGTACATCTTTTGCATATACATTATGTTTGGGTCTTACATTTTTACCTAGTCTGACAATTTCTGCCAACCAACTGAAATGTTTAGCCTATCAGCATTTAATATAATTACTGATGTGGCTGGGTTTAAGTCTACCATCTTGCTATTCATTTTCTATTTGTCCCCTCACCTATCTATTTTTTCTTGTTCTACTTCTCCTTTCCTACTTTTGAGCTAATCAAAAATATTTAAGTTCCATTTAATTTCTCTACTGGTTTTAAAGATTTACTGCTTTTAAGTGGCTACACTCAAGTTTTTAAGAATTGCATGATAGTCAATTTACACTGAATTCCACTTTAATATATATATATATGAATAATGAATCTGACAATACAGTGTGTGTGTTTTCCCATTAAGTGGTCAGTTGTCTTTGAAAGAAAATAAAACAAAAAGGGTAGTTTTAAACATTTACTCAAATATTAACTATTTCCAGTACACTTAGTTTCTTCCTGGTTTGAATTTCCATCCAGTATTTTACCACTTCAACATACAGAACTAATAGCATTTCCTGTGATAGAGGTCTACCTGTGATGAATAAGATGTCTTTATTCTCATTTTGAAGGATATTTTAGCTAGATACAGAATTCTGGACTAAAAGTTTTTTGTGCTTTGTTTTGGTTTCTGTTATCCAGCATTTTAAAGATACTGTTCCACTGCCATCTAGCTTCCACTGTTTGCAATGCAAAGTCCGCTGTCACTGGGAATATTGTTCCTCTGTATTTAATGTATATTCTCCAGCTGTTTAGAATTTTTTTTTAGCAGACTAAAATATGGAATTTTTATATTTATACTCTTGGTTTACTAACTTTCTTAGATCTATAAGTTGGCATTCTTAAGGAAGATTGGGGAAAATTCAAGAAACATCTGAGATAGCCATTAGCTGATGAATGAATAAATTAAGATATACTATATCCATACAATGGAATATTACCTGGCAATAAAAAGGAAGCACTGATATGTGCTACAACATGGATGACTTTTGAAAACATGTAGCTGAAAGATGCCAGTCACGAGGAACCGCATATGTATGATCCCATTTATATGAAGTGTCTGAATAGGTAAATCTACAGAGACAGAAGTAGATTAGTGGTTACACAGGGCTGATGAGAACAGGGGAGTTACAGGGTGACTGTGATGGGCTGCAAAGTTTCTTTGGGGTGATGAGATGTTCTAAGATTGATTATGGAAATGGTTGCATAACTCTGTGAATACGCTAGAAGTCACTGAACTGTATACTTTAAATGTGTAACTGTATGGTATATGACTAGTATGTCAAAACAGCTGATGCAAAAAAAAAAAAAAAGCAGCCAGATCTCTTAACTCACAATTCTGGGTTCTGAGACTATGCTTAATGTTTCACAATTAAAAAATTTTTAAGTTTATATTGTTTTAATTATTTAAATAAATTAAATGACTTTTAATTGTCCTGTTTTTTCTTGAGTACTTTTAATGAACATGACTAATATAAAAGCAAATAGTATGTAGAGATGCAATTGGATTGAAAAATGATATATAACTGAATCCTCATAATTAGGTATAATGGAGTCATCAAAATAAAGGTTTCTTGCAAAATTCCTGATGACTTTCCCTGAAGTTTAGCTCCGATAAAGCTTCTCTCCCGCTCAATTTCCTCAGTAACTCCCCATTAGCCATAGCAATGTTTTCCCAACTGCTGTTTGCAGCCCTCCCATAGGAATTGGCTGGTGTTGGTTAAAAAGGAGGGTTCCTGGGCCCCACATTAGAACCTCTGGGTCAGAATCTCTAGCTCTAAAGGCAGGGCCATTTCTTGGAGGTTTGATGGCCAGGCTTTCTCTCCTGAAAGGCTGTCACACCTCATACCAAATGAAATAAAACACACCATAGGCCAATAAATACATTTTCTGTAACATTTTTTGAAAGATATTTCTAAATTTTAAATAAAAATCTAAGTTTTCTTAAAAAAATAAAAAATAGAGGTTTCTTTTAAACAAGGTTATACAGCTAACAACTGTTTAACATCTATTGTGATTTTAAACATCATATGTGATCTGTTTTCACAACTTTGAGGTAGCCAGGGAAGGTGGTCTTATCCTCATTTTTCAGATCAGGAAACAGAGGCTCAAAGAGTAACACATATACTCATAGCCCAAGGTAACACACAGAGTTAACTCACCAAGAATTTTAACTGTAAATCTAGTATTTTACATTATGTCAAAAGGATTAATTCTGTCTCTCTTCTACTTTTTCTCTTGACTCGTTTTTTTTTCCTAGTACAGGACTTCTTTTCTCCTTTTTCAATGTAATGTTAAAAACCAGAGGGCAAAAGTAGAGTCAAGAGCAAGTTCAAATATAATCACTTATTACAGTTGGGAGAACTGTCCAGTAGGGGCAAATTTATAGTGGTTTTCTGCAAGTAATTTGATGGTTACTTCCACTCAGATAAATGCACTTCTGAGCAAAGAATAATTTGTAATATCTATCAGATAAAGTATACTTGCATTTCTTGGAAATCCATATGGATTAAAAGTCTCTGATGTGCTCTGTTTACTTATCAGGTCAGTAACTAGTTTTATTCCATATAGTTTTCTATATTATTTTGTCTAGTCCAAAGAATATTGTATCTGTAGTCACTCATTAATCTGAACTGATCTTTGAAAAAAATCCCTATTTTTGGCAAATAAGGTAAATCTATATAAGTCTGTGTATCCTCACAGCAGTTCCCACCTTAATTTCTTTACTCCAAGCCAGAGTGGGATAAATAACTACTTCCTGAATTTCAGGAAGTAAAAAACCAAGGAGTAAGAGGCACAGGCAAAACACAGATATTAAATTTTTGACTCAAGCCTTAAATGTGGGTTACCATAGTAGATAGAGCACTACAAAGAACTCCAAAGTAGGTATCAGAAGATATGTTTGTTAGTCTTGATTCTGTCACTTGATTGTCTGTGTGCTTTTAAGCAAGCAAGTCACCTTACCTCTGCTATTCCTTTTCCTCATCTTTAAAATGACGTGTATGTGTAGGTATGTGAAAGTAACTCACCTATTTTTCAATATTAGTCGAGTTTGACTCATATTCGATGGTCTAATTCAACAAGCCACTCATATTTTAAGACAGTGTAAAATCAAAGATGAACAAGTCACAGTTTCTGACTTGTAAGAATGTACAATTAAGAGAGGAAATAAACAATAAACATGAATAATTATACAATAAAGAAATGAATAAGGTAATAGAGGTAAATGCCCAACTTGTTGGAGTCTAACAAAAAGGTAAACTAATCCTACCTAAGGGGAAAGAGACAGATATTAGTTAGGCAATAACAAGTAGGCTTAGAGGAAGAGGTAGAGTTGCTAGAATTTTGTCCAGATACATGGGTTTCACAATAGAACACAAAGAGCCACAAGATCTATTACAGCTGGCCCTGCCTTCAATAGTTAGAACAAGTACCTCACTTCTTCAGACCTCTCTCACCACAAGTCTAAAATGAAAGGTTTAGATAAGATGAATTTTTAAGTGCTTCCAGCTGCAAGATTATGAGTCTGTTAGTCAAACTCTGGTCATTACACAGATACCAAGAAAAATAACTCAAGAGAGTAATACAATAGCCACAATTATTATTTTTTTAAAAAGAGTTCTCCCATTAATTACTTTGTCTTAGAAGTTAAGAGTCTGAAAATGATATTTATCTCTACCTAAAGTAAGTTCTAGCACAGTGAAGTGTGGAAGCGGGAATGATATCAAGGGGAGAACCAAACAATGCAGTGGGATAGCAGAGAAGCACTCAGTTCAGCAAAGATATTGCTTAGACCACTAAGGAAACAGGCAGTACACAGGAAATTATGATGCTTATATTCCTACTTACTAAGAAAAACTTGGAATAAAAACATAACCAGATATTAAAATATACACTTCCATCAAATGAGGTAGTTGTTTGAAGTTTTGCCTTGTTAAAACTTTTCTTAAAAAACTATTTGTATAAAAAGGTCAGTTTAGAAATTATAAAGAAAAGGATCAAAAACCTAAATATACGCCACTGAATTCATTTCAGGAATGGTAACAATAGTAGATACTGTCAGGTAATCCACCTCACCAAACATTTATTAAATTATATTTAACCATGATAGTGGCTGTAAAACACATAGTCCCAGTATTCAAGGGGTTCATTTTGATCTAATACCAAGACTTTAAGGAAGAAAGAATAGTAACTCTTACCCATCAATCATATTTTCAGGTGGGTGTTTTTCATCACTTGATGTAGCTAAAATCACTTCAGCCCCTTCAGAGCTCAAACAGAGATCAACTTTTCTCATCTTCAAGTGTTTAACCTGCAAATGAAACAATAACAGAAGCAACTTCCTGATTCTCCAAACTTTATCTGAGAAAATGATCACAGAGAAAGTCTGTTGCCTAGCACAGTTTAACAATGAAGCTGTTCAACAAGTGATGTTTATTTACGTAAGTAAACTGACCTCTCCCAGGGACAATCTGTAAAATATGACTATTTCCACTACTCTACTTCACAAAACAACTTCCTGACTACTTTAATGGACATCATTTTACTGCTTCTAAAATTAAAAATTCCCAATGATTATATTAAAACGGTAAACAAGTTGACATTAATTGGGGGGTAAATTTTTAAAAATTGTTTCTATTGTTATATTTCTGAAATTTAAAAATATCTGGAGCATTTGTGACTATTTTTGACATTTACCAACTGAAATAGCAAACAATATTGTTTACATCTTAAAAGACATCATTTTTTATTTGTTAGCAGCAATGTAAAACAGAAGATAATCTTTTACTTGTTTTTAAATTCTAAATCAGTCACTTTGAGTCATAGGCCTAAAGACATTTCTGTTGTATGGCAATATTTTAAGTTTAATGAGAATATCCTGAAAAGATATTGTTGAGCTCTATTAGGCACCCTGATGGGTAAGACAGATGGAAGAGGAGAGAAGATTCTATCAGCTCTCACTCACCCTTCACCTTGATCTGGTAGTATTAGGGCACAAACCACAACACAGATGCAAAATGACTGGGAAGGCTGTATCTACAAAGAATTAAAAAACAAAGAGTGTTTGGAAAGGGGAGCAAAGCTTCTAATACCCTTGATCCTGGTGCCAGTCTAACCTTTTTAAAAAATGAAACTCCTTCATATAAAGTACCAAGAATGTTATATATATTAGACAACTGTATATCCACTTCCCAGATTAAATAAATAGTATCTTTGCCATATCCACTTCAAAAAAAATTTTTTTTTAGAAATAGGTAGCCCCTCATTGGCCCCATCCCCTTTCTTGCCCTGAGGTAACAGCTATTTCTGAAGTTGATGATTAGCCCTCCTAATTATATTTTTAAACTTTTAAACATGTATCTGTAAGATAAATTCTAACCGAAATAAGCAGGTGACGAAAAGCAACAAAGGGCCAGGCAGTTTATTTGAGCGCAATCCCAGGCGAGGTTCACCAGCCTGCACTGGGACAGGCTGGAGAAGTCGCACTCATTAGGGCAGGCAGCGAGTTTTTAAAGACGGTAGGGGGAGGCAGAGCTTAGATTTACGGTGGCGCGAGGATTGGCTAGCCTAAGGCACATTTTTCAGGTTGGGAGGGGGCAGCAGCAGGGGACTTTGGCACATCATCAATGTCCCACGTGCTCACCCCTCCCTCCGGTGCCTCCAACCTTACAGTATCCATAAATATGTACCTTTTTTTAAAACTTAAGATGTTTTCACAATGTGTATATCCTTTTACTGCTTGTTTTCAAGATTTAATCATGTTAATACATGGAAATCTACTTTATTCATTTTAAATTATGTAAGGTATCTCTCCATTTCTCTCATGATGGATATTCAGGTCAGTTTCCAATGTTTTGCTATTATAAACAAAATTTAAGTGCACATCTTTGTACAAGCATCCTTGTGCATATATGGGAGAAAGTCTATGCTACCAGTCTCTTCTTTATAGAAGTAAAATTGCAGAAACTTTGAATCAGCATATCTTCAAGTCAATAATAAATTTAATCCCTAAGTTTCTGCTTCCTCATATTCTCATACACTTGGTATTATTAGACATTTTGGCTTTAACCAAGGTCACTGGTGTGAAACGGCATCTCAGTAAGGTTTCAATTTGCCTTTTCATGATTATTAGTGAGGCTGAATACCATTTTATATGGGCCATTTGGGACTCTTTTTTTGTTATTTGCTTTTTCTTATCCTTTGCTCATTTTTCTACTTGAGCTGCTTTTAAAAAAATTTTTGTCCTTTTTGTTTTGTAGGAGTTTTTAAAATAAAATATTCTGGATACAAATCCTTTGTTAAATATTGTAAAAATGTTTTCCTTTGTGGCTTCATTTTTCTTTTTGTTTTTTTTGTACAAAAGTTCCCCTGCCCCCGCCACACACTCTTTTTGTTGTTAAGCTATAACATACATAAAGAACACAAATCATAGGTATATAGCACAATAAATTTTCATAAAACACCAGGTAACCACTACTCAGGTAAAGATATAGAACATTACCAGCACTTGAGAAGCCCTCCTTATGCCTTCTCCCAATCACTATCCCTCCCTCCTTCCCAAGGTAAGCAAGGTCTTATCTCTAATACTTACTCTTTATTTCTAACATTATAGATTAATTCTGCCCAAACTTTATAAACATGGAATCATACAATTCATATGCATTTCTATCTGACCTCTTTCACTCATCATTATGTTTTGAGATTTATCCATGTTGTTGTATGTCCAGAGTTGAAGTGCAACTAAGTAAAGCTGCAATCCTGTCCCCACCCAGCTCAACTTCTAATAAGATCAAAGAAATCATACCCTAAGTGGAGCTTCACAGCAAAGTGGGTGTGACCCGAAAAGCAAAGAAAGATTCCTGTGATCTTGGGTACTTAAATCACAAATCCCTGATGAAAGAGGGAACTGAACTCCCAAATATCTAAAGTCAGAGGTAAACTAAAACCATTTAAATAAAACTATAACTCAGTCCAATCTCAGCACAAATGCTAGCTGAAGTGATTTGCTCCTTTTCCTAGATACTAGATAAAATGGTCTGTTCTCTCTAGGAAAAACATTACCTACTTCAGTGTCTATCATTCTTTTAAATACAACCAACATACAAAGTCATCTGAAGCAGAACTATGGATGATTCAGGTGCTGGGAGTTAGCAGAGATAAGGATAACTACCAAAAATCTGTTAGAGAATTTGTTGAAAATAGGGACAAAAAGGATGAAGAAAAAGGAAATTTTGGTAGGGAAATATAAAGTCTAAAAAGGAACAAAATGGAAATTCTAGAACTGACAAATACAGTATCTGAAATAAAGAATTAATTAGATGGGCTTAAATAGTAGACTGGACTCATCATAAAAAAGGATCAGTGAACTTAAAGGTCAATAGAAATTATGTAAAATAAAATAGAGTAAAAAATGAAAATAACAGGGCATCAGATACCTGTAAAACACTATCAAACTATTCTGAAATGCATGTAATTGTAGTCCCAGAAGGAGAGGATGAAGAGAATAGTATAGAAAAAAATTTGAAGAGATACAGCTGGAATTTTCTCCAAGTCTATGAAAGACATAAACCCACAGATACAAGAAGTTCATGAATCCTAAATAAATACAAAGAAGAACCCACCTAGGCACATCTTAGTCAATTGGAAGAAAAGAGAAAAAATTTAAGAGCAGTCAAAGCAAAAAACACATTACATTTAGGAGAACAAGAATCAAAATCTACTTTTTATCAGAAACAAAGGACTCCAAAAGGCAATGGAATGACATCTTTAAAATGCTAAAAGACAAAATATAGAATTCTATATCCATCAAAAACAGCCTTTGAAAGTAAAGGCAGAATAAAGACAATTTTCAGGCAAACAAAAGCTGAAAGTATTTGTTACTAGTAGACCCATATTACTAAAAAAAAAGTTTTGCAGGCTAAAGTGAAATGATTCCAGGTTGAATCCTGGATCTGTGGGAAGGAATGAAGAGCACTAGAAATAATAAATATTTTGCAAACATTAACAGAATATTTTAAAAATCTCCTTATAAGACTATTGACTATTTAAAGAAAAAATATCAATGAATGGTAGGGATTACCATTATGCAGAAATAATAAATAATAACACAAAAGGCAAGAAGAAAGTAAATGAATCTGTACTTTTTATCAAATAGTTTTGTAAAGTTCTTACATTGAACATGAAGTGATGTAATATTAATTCAAAGTAGACCAGGATGTTAAGGATGCAAGTCATAATCCTCAGATTAGAATAAAGTCACCACTAAAAGCCATAAAGCAAAGAATTATAGGAAGAAGGACAACAGGGAAGAAAACAATGGAATATCATAAAGTTGATTTACCTGAAAGGCGGCCAAAAAAGAGAAGAAAAAGGATGAAGACAAATAGAAAATAAATAGCAAGAAGATAGTTTTAAGCACAAATACATTAATTACTCTATTAAGTGTTAATAAATACTACATTATCAGACTGAATTGAAAAAACCAGACACTTATTTCATGAAGTATATTCTAAATATAATGATAGGCTGAAAGTAGAAGGATAAGATAAGATAAAGTAAGATATCTGCTAAGAGAAGACAGTAGATTGCTAAAAATACAGATTGGTAAATTTGAATGTTAATGCTCAACAAAATTCTAAAAGTATTAAATTTTGTTATTAAGTTGATGGCTCGAAAGGGTAAAAGAGTAAGTAGTAAAATAGGAAGCAGTGGTAACATTTAGTTCACAGTCACACCAAATACATACATTTCTTTTTGTTTGATAGAGTTGCTACCAAATAGAGACATGTTTTGAACATTTCAATAAAACTTCAGACAAAGCTTCTCAATATACCCTGTGGACCACTTGGAAAAATGTGGGTTGGATACAGGTAGATATTTATAAGTCCCTGAATGGCTATGCTCAGAGAATGATGATTGATGAAACAAAATAAACTGTGAAAAGACCTCTATCTGTATCCCATTCAACATTTTTATTATGGATGAAAAAAGTATGCTTCTCAATTTTGCAGATGAAACAAAACTGGGATGTTACCTAGTATGTGAGATGACAGAATTAGCACATGAAATCACCTAAGCAATTAGAAAGATGGGCTGCAATGAGTAAGATATTTAATAAGGATAAAAATAAAGGTCTATACTCAGATTTAAAAATTCAACTACACAAGGAGTGGTCTACCTCAGGGTTAGGAAATTACTGCCTACAAGCCAAATACAGCCTGCCATGTGTTTCCATATGGCCGATGAGCCAAGAATGCTTTTTATTTTTATTTTTAAAAATAAAATATTTTGTGACATATGAAAATTATAGGAAATGCACACTTCAGAGTTCATGAATAGTTAGCCATGCTAATCCATTTATATATTGTCTATGGCTACTTTTGGTCTATAGCAACAGAATTGAGTAGCTGTGACAGGCTATACAGCTAGTAAGACCTGAAATAATATCTGGCCCTTTATAAAAAGTTGGCTGACTTTTGATCTAGATGTGTAAAACATATAGGTCTGGTTCATTCTAAAGTCACTGTAAGGCAAGAATGTAGTCTATCTGCCTCCAAAGGTAAAGGAATGTGATTTTATATTAATAGAGTTTAGGAAGAACTACATCATATGAAAAATTCTGAACATGAACTAAGAGCCAGGCACTGTGCTTGTAATGCAAAGATGACTACAACCTAACAAAGATGGTAACTAAGATTGGGTTCTTGCCTTCAAGCTCAGAGTCAAGAAAGATGGATAAACATGCCACTAATATTATAAAATGTACTCATAGTGTGATCCACATCCAGAATACTGCACTTAGTTCTGGGTAGTATATTTTAAGTAGGACATTGTCAGTCTTGGTATTGTTCAGAGGAGAGCAAAAGTTCCATGATGATCTACAAACTATCACATGGAGAAACTTGAAACAATTAGGGGCTGAAATACCTCAAAAGATAAGAATGTGACACCATGAATTTTTCTTTTACAACTCCAAGGGGGAGAAATGGACTCAATAAATATGAATTTTAATCAAGAAGACATCAGAGATAAAAGAACTTTCTGGCAAAGAGAAGATTTTTAAATCATTTCCATCCCTTTGAATGTCCAAGAAGACTAGGTGATAATCTATGGAGGAACCTAAACAAAGAATTTCTCTGCATTTCTTTTGACCTGAATCAAGTTCTAGGAAAGGTCGAATGGGAGTAGATAACGAAGTATGTTAAAAGCTAAGTTAAAGACAATGAGCTTTATCCTATAGTCTAGTGCTTTTCTAGACTGGGGGTGATATTGCCCCACTGTGGGACATTTGACAACGTCTGGAGACAGTTTGGCTGTCACAACTTGGTGCAGCGGGTGTGGGGAGATTTGTGGGGGTAATGCTATTGGTATATAGTAGGTATTCCCTGATACTGCTAAATATCCAACCATGCACAGGACAGTCTCCTTCAACAAATAATTACCTGAACCAATAGTGCAGAAGTGGAAAAACCCTGTGGTAACCTATTTGGGGGTGGAAATGTGGGGGTCAGAGACAGGAAAAGAAGTTGCTATTAAAAAGTTGTATTTTAGGGAAAGGCATGGTTGCATAGTGTATGAATAAGGAAGAGAGTCTACTCTAAATGTTCAGTTCTTTTTTTACCTCATAGCCTTACCACTGTAGTTGTCTTTAGGGAAGCAAACATGTATTTTAATACAAAACTCATTTCATACCTCCTATATCCACCAATTTCCTTCATATTTCCTGTAGGCAGAGTAACAGCTAAGAAATGGCAGAAGTTGGGTTCTCTTTCAGCTTCTTGTGTTGTGGTTAACAAGAGGCAAACCAACCCCAAAAAACCCTAGAACATCTCAGCAGGTATGTGGCTTCCATAACTCCAAAGAACAGGTCTGGGATGTGGTCTAATTCCTACCCTGGTATGCCTTACTCTAAACACACATGTGTTCCTTCAAGGTCTCAGTTTACCAAAGATGGTATACTCTGGGGTGCCATATTCTGTTTTTTAAGATTCCTGACCCTGGACTTGCCAGATGCCTTATGCTGTCCCCTAAACAGGGCGCCTTAGCCACGCTTTTGTCTCCAGTTCACATGCCCTTTCTAGTCCATCTTTTAAACAGCTCTTAGGGTTAAGTCCTCAGTTCACTTTCTCTTCGACCATCCCTTGGATCTGGTACTCTTAAATCCTTTCCCTTACCATTGATTGGGAACTTGTGTGTAAACTAGAAAACGGCCATCCTCTGTCTCCCAGTCCCCAGGGTCTATAGCTTGGTATCACTCATAAGGCAAACCAGCTTTGACACACCTTCTCACTTCGATCCCAAACCCCTCTCTTCGGTCCAAGGCCATTTCAAGATTTTCATGGATTCTAAACGCTCATACTTTTGGACGTAAGCCCCAAGTTATATAAAACACAGTAAATGAACCCATATTCTACATCAAATATAATTCATAACCATATGGGCTACGTCGCAGTTGATAGGTTACATTCTGGTAGATTTACTAATTTCAGTATGCAATTTTTTCCTTCTTGGGGTTCAAAATATTATTTCAGGCCTCAAAAAAGTTCGTGGGCTGACACTACCGTCTCTAGGGCTAAGCCGAGAAAACAGTCTTGGCATCAGACTTCCTTCCCCCATCCCGATCCCCTCACTAGCCGCCCCTCTGCGTCCGCCTGCTCACCGCGCGTCTCCTCACAACCCCCCTCCATCGGCCTCGTCTAGCCAGGCTCCCACGGTCCCCGATACCGGCCTCCCCCCCGCTGACCGGCTCGCCCGCGCCTCCGGTTAGCTCCAGCGGTACAGACGGTCAGAGTTCCGCATCTCCCTTCTGCCACACCCGACCATGCCCCGCGCGCGCCCCGGGCCCCAGCCCCGCCTGCCTGCCTGCCTGCCGCCAGTCCTCCCCGACCTCCACGAAGCTCCCGGGCGCGCGCACATCTGTACTCTAGGCTCTTGGCACCACCCCCGTCGCAGGCCCTGCCCCGTCCCCCTCCACGCTATGGGGCGTGCGCAGGCTCTACTCCCGGCTCTCTGCTCCACCCTGCCCGTAGGCCCCGCCCCTGGCTCGCCACTTCGCCTTCCCAGTGCGCGGCCCGCCTAAGGGCCTGTTGCCACGCAGTTGCCTGAACACGCGCTGCCTACCCCTCCCCGGCTCTGCTTGAGTCCTCGGAACTGCGAGACCCACGGGACTCGTCCTCGCGCGAACACGCGCGCGTAGTCCCCCGCCTCTCCGGGATCCGCGCTCTCGACCCTCGGGTCGCCGGCCCGGCCCCGGCCCCTCCTCCAGGCCCGGCCCCGCCCCTCATGCCGGTGCCGCGCACGCGCGTCCTTCCAGCCCAGGCTTCCCTCCGCCCCTGTCAGCCCCGCGGTCCCCCGGCGCCAGGTCGCCCCCAGCCCCTCCCTCCTCCCACCCGCTCTCTGTCCCGCCCTCACTCAGCTTTGTGCCCGGTGCGCCGATCCGCTTCTCCCTTCAGCCGCGCCGCGGGAGGAGGGAGCCGCCACCGAGGAGCTACCGCTCGCAGCCCCGGGCAGGGGCACAGGTAGGTGGCGGCCGCGGGCTGGGCCGCTATCGCAGCCCGGGGCTGCGAGTGGGGGCGGGGGCGTGGTGGGAGGGGAGAGTGGAGGAGGGGAGGGACGGGAGGGACGGGGTTGGGGTGTGCTCGGGTGAGAGTGCGAGGGTAGGGATATAGGAGTACGGGAGATGGGTTAGGGTGGGGTCAGGGTGCTGGGGGAGGGCGTGGGGGCGTGTGAGAATCGGGGTTCTGGGCCAAGGTGGGAGAAGGGAGCAGGCGTAGCTTTAGTGGGCTCGGGAAGGGGCATGTGTGGGACTGGAGAGAAGGATGGGGAAACGCAGAACTAGGGGAGGGGAATCGGAGTGGGATTTGAAGAGTGCAAGGAGGAAAGGGTCTAGGGTTGGAGCAGGAGAACGGGAGGGGGGTCTTGGAGACAGGGAGAAAAGTTGGGGCTGTGGATTGTGAAGTTGGGTTTAGGGGTGTAAAGGAAGGGGATTTTGAAGGTTGAGACCAGAACACAAGAGAAGAGAGGGAGAGATGGGGTCCTAGGAGAGGGACTCCCAGAAAGTGGGAAGAAGGGAAGGAGACAGGGGGAAGGGCAGAGGAAGAGGGCCTGGGGGTTAGAGTGGGTGGGGGTGGAACAGTGCTGGGAAGGAAGGAGAGGCTTTGGGATTGGGTCTGGGGCCCAGGGAACCACATTTTCGAAGGGCCATAGAGGGATTGGAAGGACATGACTTGAAAGGTGGGGGCAGGAGAGCAGGGAGTGGGTGAAGGGAGTGGGGCTTAGGATGTTTGGTGTGGAGATAGGATTTTGTGTAAGAAGCTCTATAGAGTTGGCAGGTGGAAAAACTAAGTGTCAAAATGTAGGACAGATTGGCATGTTCCTGGAGGAGCTGGGTATGGTGTGACCCTCTGCAGCTTGGGGGAGGAAGGGGTATGGATAAGAAGGCAGATAAGAAAATACAAGTTGTAGGAAAAAAGAAAGGAGAGGAGTTGAAAATTGAATAATGGTGGTGACACAGAACAATGAAGGTTAAGATTATTAGTTGGTTCTTGATGGTTTGGAATTAGTTTCTGCTTAGGTTTTATGTTAGGAATTTTCTCAAGAATACTTCATTTTCAAATAAACCAAGGGCATTTGGATGCCTTGGGTTGAGGGCCATGAGTAGACAGATGTTTTCCTGGTGTGTGGTTGTGGGTGATTTCTGCCCTGGCAGAGGGAAGGGGAGAGGCCTCGATGTAGCTCTCCTGGCTCTGTTCCCACCAACTCTTTCCTCAGATGTCCACTGTTTTTTGTTTTGTTTCGTTTTTTTTCTCTTCCTTGTCCCCCCTTAGCTTGAGCCAGTAAATACCAGAAGGATCAAACAGGTGAGATTAATTTTTAACATCTTTTTTTTTTAATCCTTAAGGCTGATGTCATATTTGTATTCTTGAGAGACAGCAGCATGCAGTGGAAAGAGCTTGAGCTGTGGAGGAGTAATACAGCCTTGAGATTGAATTCTGGCTCTGCCACTTCCTAGCTCTGGTCCTTACGTAAGTTAGTTAGTTAACTTCTCTGAGCCTTTTCTGTTAAGTGGCAGTCCTGACCTCATAGGATTGTTGAGGTTTACATGAGATCGTGTAATACAGTACCTAGCATAGTGCTTCCCAAGGGGTAGGTGCCTAATAAATCGTAGCTCTCACACCTACTACATTATCACCATCACATTACTATGACTTACTACTCTTAGAGGATTGTTAACTTACTTAACGTACTAATGTTAGCTGTCTTCTCTTTTTCTTCAGATGAGGTAGCTGTAGACTCAGCTCACCATTTTAATCCTGTTGCTTTCCCCACCTACCTCCCTCCAGCTTGCCTGGGGTAGTCATGCTTCTTGTTTGATAAACTGGCTAAAAGGTCTGAAAAGCTGTCATGTTTAGTTTACAATTATTTTATCTTGTCTCTTATTCAAAGAGGCTATATAGAACTGAGTTTTTGGTACTAAGGTTACATTTTATTTGTCTGATGAAATGACATGCTTTGTGATAACTTTGTCTTATTCGTGGTGACCAAATAATAGAGGATGCAGTACTGTAATACTTTTCTGTAGTGGTGTGCGGGTTACGAAGCTGCCTCTCTGGAGATCTGCTGGGAGACTATCAATTCTGTTATTCTGATATATAGTTAATACAGCTCTACCCTGGATGTTCTTATTCTTGCAGATACAAATTATTGTAATTTTCTAGTTTGTATGGGATTCTTGCTATCATATAGAACAGGCCCTCTTTCCTGAGGGGGCCCATTTTTAAAAGACCACCCTGTACAAACTCAGGCATCAGCAAAGTCATCTACAGAAGCTTGGTGTAGAAGTCTCTGCCTTTATGATTTTTAACCTTGAAAGGTTTAAACATTAATTTAGTTCTTAGATTATTTTATAGTACCTCACAAACTCTCGGGAAGCTCCTTATTGGGAGAATGCAAGACGCACAAATTTAGTAGAAATCAAAGGTCACCAGGATTTCTTGAACCAAGGTCAGTTCCTAAGGTATTGTGGTTGAAATACTGAGAGGCCTTGGGACTTCTGGACAGCTGATATGGGTTTACTCTTCAGGAAACACTGGATTTTTTTTTATCATTTAGAAAGAGAACTAGCATTTTAGGAGTAATTTAAAGGTAAAATATAGCCAAAACTGTGCCTTTTGAAATGATCCATGGAAGCCGGAGCTGCCAGGATTTGGGGCAGCCTGGGTTAGCAACCTTGCTCTACTCCCAAGCTGCTTGTGCCCTCTGCTGGCTGGAATCAGACTTTCCTCATTTTCACCTGAAGTGGTCACCCATTCATCCATTTGTCCATTTTACTCCAAAGTTGGTGGAAGGCACCACTGGCAGTGAGAGTTAGGGATAGTACAGATCAGCAAGCCCTATTTCATTGCCAGGAAGCTTATACTGTACTGATCCATTGTAATATGTTATCTTCCATGGGATTTGCCTTTCTGCTATTAAAATCAAGTCATTCCTTTTTAGGGCCATTCCTGGTGTCCACTTTCTGATCTACAGGAACAGTAGGGCTCTGAATGTCCAAATCCAGGGATAAAGACCATAGGGGATCTGCTTTATCTCCTCATCAGGATTAATGTCTGTGGGGTTGAAAAGGCCAGATGCTTACTCCTACCAGAAGAGCTTAGAATAAGTGAGACATCTCCTTAGTAGCAGGCACTGAATACCAGCAACAGTATGGGTTATAAGAGCTGGCACTGTGACAGGAGTTTTTTTCTGGTTTTAGATTCCCCCCCTGGTAGTACCAGTAGCAGTATACGCCATCATCTGTTTTGCTTCTGCCACCTGCAGAAGGGTCTGGCAAGTGGGGGAGGAGCCTGCAGCTGTTGCCTAGAAGAGGAGCTGGCTCCTAGCAACAGTATCAGCAAGCCCTGCAACCAGAGCATTAACTCTGTCTTTTTGAGGTCTCACCGTTCCTCTCATTTAGTTCAGCAAATATCTGTGGGAGCATATTCAGTATTAGGCACTATGTTGGGCCTGGGAAAGAGAGACTAATCAAATAAGTGCCTTGCTTCCAAAGGGCTCACAGCTTTGGGAATATTAGCAAGTGACCAGACATAGTACATGGTGCTAAGTGCCATATAGAAGAAGACACTGGTGCTCTCGGAAAACCAGACAGGCATTTACTAGTGCTGGGGTTCAGGAAGGTTTCCCAGGAGAGGTATGGTGGTTGAGATGAATGTTAATGATAAGTAGGAATTAGCTGGATCAGGGTAGCAGAGAGGATGTTCCAGCCAAAGGGAGGAGAATGAGCAAAGGCCAGTGGGACAAGAGAGCATAGCCAACTTACCTGGGTAATATGCCATGGCCAGAGAGGAGGGCATAAGAAGATGAGTGGGGAAGGGTGAGGCTCTTGAGCTAGGCAGGGCTGTCTTTTCTGATGTGCTTTTATACACATAATTATTCTCGGGAGAAACATGGATTATACTGATGCCCACAAACAGGGTCACTGTTTGATCTCCAGAGACTCAGTATTTTGATCACTGACCTGATTGTATGCCACAGTTTATGTGGCATCAGAGCTACAGCTTAGCCCTGCATTGATGCACAAGAACCTGGATTGGTTCACTCTACGTCAATCAGAGCTTTTTGAGATAATAGCAACTTTTCTATGTATATTATATTAAACTTTACTTCTCCCTTTAAATTGATGTAGAAATGATAACAAGTATAGTTGGCCCCTGAACAGTGCAGGCCCTTGACCCCATGCAGTTGTGAATCTGCATATAACATTTGACTCCCCCAAACTTAATCACTAATAGGTTACTGTTGATGAGAAACCTTACTCATAACATAAACAGTTAACACATATCTTGTATGTTATATGTATTATATACTGTATTCTCACAATAAAATAAGCTAGAGAAAAAAGTATTTTTTCAAATTGTCACAAATCTAAAAGTTTTTCCAAT